TGGAGGTCTTTCTCCTGCTTGGCTTAGGGGAGGAGAGCATTTTTCTCACCATGAATTCCGCCCTTGGGCAAGGCCACACGACTCAGCAGATTTCTCTCTTGCCTTTCCTAAGTGTGTCTAGATGGGGATGGGGTGAGAGGAAGCAGAGAGCAGTTGGTGTTTGTCCCATAGAGAGCTGGCTGGCCCCGCGTGTCCACAGCTTTCTCAGCATGGACGTGATGTCTGTCCCACTCTGGGCCCACGTAGCCAAGTCCAGACCCATAGGAGGGTCCCACTCAGCTTCCCCATTACGTCCTCCCTACTTTCCTACCCTGGACATTCAGTGAGTCTGACTCTGTCCCAGGCCCTGCTCTAAACCGTGGGAGGCATAGACATGTGACAGCTCCCACTGCACTCACTGAGAGGCGGCAGAATTCTCTAGTAAGTGCCATCCGCCATCCCACACCCACCAGGAGCTCCTGCTCTGCCAAGTGCCCAGGCAGCCGTGATACTAGGGTGGTTATGCTGTGGTGGAGGTAAATTCAGGAAACAGAGGGCAGGGCCAATCCACCAACTTTGGGGGTTTAGGGGAAGCCTTCTGGCTGGGAAGAGGTAGTTCTGAGTGGGATCTTGAAGGATGAGTATGAGTTTGCCACTCAGACACAAGAAGAACATTTTACGTTGAGGGAATGAAACATGAAGGCGGGGGCTGAGTGCAAAGATGCTGGGTGTGACTGGAGCATGGGGAGATGACATGACAGGAAGGGGTGAGGGACAGGCAAGGAGCAGGTCATGAAAGGTCCTGGGGACCATGCCACGGCAGGGAGCACTTCCCAGAAACATTTCAGAGTAAGCTGTTGGGCACTCCTCCCTTCACCCCAAGGCTTCTGTTTTGAAGGGTCTAGTTGGACACTTTCTTCACATGGTGGCAGCTCTGAAGCTGCAAGCATTTGAGTCGCCAGCATTCCTGAGAGGGGAGGACTTCCCATATTGATTGCAGCAGAGCAGGTGGGGGATAATGGATGGGCAGCAGAGACCCGAGCAGGACGGAGGACGAGGCAGCTCCCTTTGGGTCCTAATGCCAATGGGCTTCCATAGGAGAGACCCCAGCATCAGGACAATTGCTGGCTTGGTTTGTCTGGGGAAATCTTCGACTAAAATATCAGGGGCAGAAATCTTGGCTGGGCTGAAGAATTCACAGGACTCGAATAATTTACCTAAAAGAAAAAGCAGAACAGGGTTTATTTTTTTGGAGGTAGGACTCTGGTGTGACATTTTAAAAATGCATGTTTCCAATTCTCATGTTCTATGAGCATATGTTGCTTTTCAATAAGAAAAAAGCCCACGTTCGTTCCCCAGTGATTTTTCTAGTGCCTATTTATGTTGTGCCAGCCTTCAGAGAGCCTGCTGGTACAGGGATACACCAGAAAGGGGCGGCCCTCACCTTCCCAGAGTGCGACCCTCTCTTGCAGTTAGTGGGCACCTGCTGTGGGGGGTCTAGGGGCACTTGTTGCGCAATGTCTCTCATCTTGACAATGACTCTTGAGGATGGATACAATTCACTTTAACCTCCAGATGAAGGACCTGAAGCTCAGAGCAGTTAAGTCACTTGGCCGGAGTCACACAGTAAGGGAACTAGCCACGTTGGATTTCCAGTCCAGATGAGCTTGGCTCTAAAGGCTGGGCCATTTGATGCTGATTCTTTTGGTCTATTGGGCTCCTATGCAGGCTCGCCGTGCCAGGCTTGCCCCTTTGCACCTTGGGTGACCCTGGAGAAGTCATGCAGCTTCTCTAGGCCTCGGTATCCCCACCTGTAAAATAGGGATAATTACATCTTCCTCGCAGGCTTATAAGGCATGGAGAGGTGTGATTAACGCACGTGGCTCAGGACAGTGCCTGACACTGGCTGCTTGGACAATGATAGCTTCTAATCATGGTGAGGGACAATGTTAGTTGGTGCTGACTCCCTGCTTCTATTCCAAGAAAGAACCCACTTCTGTCTGTTTCCAGTTCCTGGCATCAGAAGATACAGGCCCTGGGCTTCCTTAAGCTCCTAAACTCAGACACAGGGAAAGAATCTACATGGGAAAGACAGTGGCTACCCTGACCTGGTTCCCTGTCATTGCCCCCTGGCTTCCCACCCTGTCCTGGTTCCCTGTCACTGTCCCCTGGCTTCCCACCCTGTCCTGGTTCCCCTGTCACTGCCCCCTGGCTTTCCACCCTGTCCTGGTTCCCCTGTCACTGTCCCCTGGCTTCCCATTCTATCCTGGTTCCCCTGTTACTGCCCCCTGGCTTTCCACCCTGTCCTGGTTCCCTGTCACTGTCCCCTGGCTTCCCACCCTGTCCTGGTTCCCCTGTCACTGCCCCCTGGCTTTCCACCCTGTCCTGGTTCCCCTGTCACTGCCCCCTGGCTTCCCATGCCTGTTTCTTCTCAGACCCAGGCTTAACCCAGCCCTGGAGATAGCCCAGATATGGGCCACCAACATAGAACGTTAACCCCATTCACTGGTGGTCTTAAGATTAGTTACAAAGACCAAGGCCAGGGTGAGCCTGGAGCAACCACGTGTTCAATGCTCCTGCTGCTGTAGGTCTTACTGCTTGGGATCCGTTTTCTCCAGGTGCTCCACACACATCAGCCACACTCACTGCTTGGAACATAGGATGTTTGCCCTGCTGGTTCCCTTCTAAGATGACAACCATAAACTCCGCAGTCTGAAGAAGGAGAACCCGTTTCTGGAAGATGACCAGAAGGCTGTGGTGCCTATCCATCTCCCAGAGGAGCCTGTGTTGTCCTTCATTTTAAGTCCTACCATCCCCTACCTTGCCGTGTATTCTGTTCCAGGTAGCACTGCCTTGCTGCCCAGCTCCGCTTCGGTGTGGTGCCGTAGGCTGGTGCTGAAGGCAGGATGTCGGGAGAAGTAGCCCCTAAGAAGCTAGTTATTGTGTCTATTGCAGGAGGGAGAGTGCCAAGGAAATTGTTGGGAGACATTTCTCTCACCCATAGAACCAGGAAAAGGGGAATTTATTTTTATCTGTGGAAACCAAGCTGAATGAGACTGTGTCTTCTTCTCTGCTTTGTCTGCTGGGAAGCACAAAGCCCAGTGCATTGCCCATTTCTAGGAGGTGCTGAGGACTGCAGCATCAACACTATGGTGCACTGACCTCACCTTGTCTTGTGACCGATGGGAACCTGCTCGTACCCAGGACTGCTCTTTGTGCTGTCCTTTGGGGTCTAGCTCTGCATCTGACTTGGTTCTCCCCAGCCCCATCAAGCCAGCTGGAGAGCAGGACCTCCTTGGGTGCTGGCTGCTTCTCCTTCCAGCAGACCTGTGTCTTCCTGGCATCCCAACAGCTGCGGTTGACATTTCACGTTTCCATGGGAACAGAGTCTGACTGTAGCCAGACAACTAACTAGGGAGGCTGAGGAGGAGTGTGTGTGAGTGTGTATTGTGTCTGAGGCTGCTCTCAGAGCCCAGGGTTCTCCTGCACTTCCCTGTGTCCTGTGGTGGCTGCAGCAGCCTCCTCTTGGCAGTAATCATGCCCTGTTTGCAGCTCCTACATCTCCATTGCTGACATAATATTGCACCGGGGTCCATCCATCTGCATAATCATCTTAACCTGCTCCCACAAGAGAGTTTAAAAGGTCTGGGCTGTTGGAAAATGACCATAAAGCCTGCACGCAGATACCTTTAGCAGCAATGCCAACATCTATCACAGGGTAATTAGAGGCAGGGAGTGAGGGCTCCGGGCCCTGCGTCAGGGAACTGTCTGGGGCTGCGTCTGCTCTGACTGTTGAGAAGAAAGGGAGAGAAAGACCCAGGAAGGCAATCCAGGAAGGAGAAGAGCAGTTTCTGCAGCAGTAAGAGGATTTCTCTTTCCTGGAGGGTGTGCAGCCTCTCCAAGGGGAAGGAACCTTGCCTGAGACTGTTTGGGGACTCCTGGGACCTCTGTTCACCCATGGGATGAGCCATGGTTTTCTCATACTAGAAAACTAATGACCAGGACTCCTTTCTTCCTATGTTCTAGGTCTCAAACTCTGGAGAGCCGTGAGGTCTTGAACAAGCTCCCTTTTCTCTCTGTGGCCCCATTATTTTTATTTGTAAAATGAGGGGATTGGACAAATCTGTCAGTTTTTGGGGAATCAGTTCTCTGATTTGTGGAACCCTGGGGTTCACAGGCAGGGTTGGGGAGAGGGAAGCGGGTAGGCAGGGGCGAGACCCACCTCCTTTACTCCAACTGCAGTAGCTTTCCTTTCCTCGGTCCTATACTCAGCTTTCTACTGAAGAACAGTTTCCTGCTTCCAGATGCGCTGGACCCCCACAGGGCTCCAAGATCATGAAGAGTCTCTGGTGTTTGTATGGTAAAGGCACCAGGTTCGGAAAGCCAGCTTTTGCTACGTCCTTTTACAAGGGCTGTTTCGTAACTAGTTTTATTGTGCTGAATTCAATCTCTCCAGAAAAATAGTCACATCTGTGCAGAGGGAGTGTGATTTGAGGGAGTATGAGGATGCCACAGAGTCAGAAGCAGAGGGGCAAGAACGGCTCTGGCAAAGCAGTGATGAGGAGCAAACTGCCCACAGCCCATCTCCCCAGGCCCACTGGGGCTCCAAGTCATCGGGAATGCCCCAGGCAGGGGGTGGCTGTCCTCCCTGTGTTGAACCAGCAGAGCTGATTTCTTCTGGGTCCCCTGCCTTCCTTGGCTGTCAGCTCTGAGCGGGGTGCCCAGCCCCCTGGCTCTGATCCACATGGAGCCTGGTCATCTCCTCCTGGCATCCATCAACTGCCTGAGCTGTCGGTGGAGGCTGCTACGGCCTCTCACTTGCTGACCCCTTGTTCTCCAGCCTCTTGAAAACTCCCAGCGATTTGTCTCTGATCCCGCTGTAGTCTCCCACCTTCCCCTGGAGTTGGGGCTTCGGGCTATTGTGATTGTAAGACTCTCTGTGTCTGCTGCCTCATTTGCCAGGCACTTCAAGCTCCAAGGCGCCCCTTGTTCCCCACCTTTGGGTCTTTGAAACTTTTGTGCCCTGTATTTGAAGGTAATCCTGATCATGGACAGTGCAGGGAAACTGCTGAAAGCATTTCCCCTTGTTTGGAGGGGCCACTCCTGTCCCTTCCAAACTGTGGAGCTTTTCCATACCTCCTTCTTTTCATCACCTTTTAGATGCCTCCTGATACCTGGTGTCTGGCTTAAGCAGTGCTCCCTGTGTGAGGCTCAGTGCTGCTGGCTGCGAGGCTTTAACCAAGGTATACATTAAAAATAAATAAATAAAGAGGCCAGGCAGGGTGGCTCACACCTGTAATCCCAGCACTTTGGGAGGCTGAGGTGGGTGGGTCACGAGATCAAGAGATCAAGACCATCCTGGTCAACATGGTGAAACCCCATCTCTAGGTGAAATCTCCTTTTGGCATGCTGGCACGTGCCTGTAATCCTAGCTACTCGGGAAGCTGAGGCAGGAGAATCACTTGAACCTGGGAGGTGGAGGTTAATGTGAGCCAAGATCATGCCACTGCACTCCAGCCTGGCATCAGAGCGAGACTCTGTCTCAAAAAACAAAAAAGAAAAGAAAAGAAACTTTTTTGTGTCTGACCTTCTATCTGTGTCAGCCCGGGCCTGGGGAAGAGGGTGAGGTCAGGCCAGGTGAGTTTGCCCATCTGGTCATCCCAGAAGCACCACTACCCTAGAGCTCCCTGCATACCACCATGCTGGCCAGATGTGTCTCTCTGGTCTCTGCTGGACTCCAGCCCAGCCTATTCTCCTTGGTAGCAGCTCCTGGCATGCTCTACAGAGGGTGTAACTATTTCAAACCAGGCCGAGGGCTCTGAATGTGGCCATTTAAAGAAAAAATGATGGTAGGTGTCTTCCTGAACAGCACTGCTGCAGTCTCATAGAGCACTGGGCAGCCCCCTTCAGAGTCTGCACGTTGCCTGCAAGGAGTGCTGGTTTTCAGTTTCTTCTCAAAACTTTGCCTGGGGACAGTGTCTGGGTTGCAGGCTAAAGCTGTCTTGGGGGATCCTCTGCTCAAATGCAGTTCCTGCCACTGAGCCACAGTGTAACCTTGTAGAGAGTCTGCCCAGGCTGGGGCTGGTGGGTCACCTATTTATTTTAATAGTGCCGTCCTTTTTGGGGTGACTGTAAGCAGAGGCCCCAGTGAAAGATATTTGAAAACAAGCTTCCTGGAAACAAGCCTCTTGGAGGACCATAAGGTGGTGGGATTCTGGAGTCTTCTCTCATTATGCACGCATGCCTCTTCTGCCCCCATTCACGTTGGCCTAGTCTATGGCCCTCCCTTCCTACTTGAGGAGACCAGCTTTGCAGAATCCTGGAGGCCCAGCCATGGGATGTGCCGCAGGTGGCCCTAGAACTCAGGTGTCTCTGACTCTCAGTCACTTCTCATCACTCCTGCGGAGGCCACATGTCCCTCGGCAGGTATATTAGCTAGAGGACCCTCATTGTGGCTGTGGAGGTCTGGCAGTTACACGGAGGCACAAATAAATTCTTGCAAGATATCATGGGCTGGTAGGAGGAGTAACTTCCTAGGACACAAGAGACCTGGGTGTGGTCTCAGATCTGCTAAGTGGCTGTGTGATGTTGGATGAACAGCTTGCCCTCTCTGGGCCTTGGCACCTGTCATTGTACAGTGAATGGTTTGACTCTGGGATGGGTCAAGGCCTCTTCAGGTAATGTCGGGATCTAGGTAATATCAGGATCTTTCTGGAGGCATGAGAGAAAAGCTTGTAGTGTCAGATAAGAGCATGTGGAACAGGACGGGATGACCCTGGTGTTCTCATGGAATAGGGTCCATGACAGCTCCTTCTCCCTATGTGGCCTTGTCTCGGGGCCCCAGAGTGAGTGCAGTGTGGGGCCTGCCTGCTGCCCCTCCTGGAAGCCCCTGCTGGGACAGTGAGCAGTTCTGTGCCCTCTGTCTTCATCCCATGGTTCTTCTTGGGGATCCACTCATGACAGATGCCTTCTTGATGGGAAGTGGGCAGGAAACATCTCCTGAAGTGCAGGGAGCTGGCCCTCTGGCTGTGGCAAAGTCCCACCTATTGCGTTGGCACCAATCTGGGCAGGTATAAAGTGGCAGAGAGGAGGAAGCTCAGCACCTGCCATCAGGGCATGTAGACCCGTGGGGCAGGCAGCAGTACCGCTGCTGAGGTCATGAATCTTAGTCCCCTCACTCAGCTGGTGACACAAATCACTTGTCCCCACAGCTGACTCCACGATTCATTCTGTGGGGCTGGTGGAAACCCATTACCTCAGCTCCTCTGGGGTTGTCCTCCTGCCTCTCAGATCCCCCCTCTGGCATGGCTCATCCCCTGAGTCAGAGAGAGGGTCTCCTGGGCATCATCCCTCAGGCCCCTGGGCCCTCCACTTTCCCTGCCTACAAAGGTACTTCAGGGTGCACCCTGCTCTCTGCTGCCTTCCAGCCCTGACTGTGGCACAAGGCTCCTTTCTGTGGCTGTCCCCAGCCTTGGTCCCCAGGGGTCTCAGGAGCATTTGCTCTGGGCTCTTGCTCAGCAGGAATAGAGAAGGCAGGGTCCCGCTCTTGAGGAACAGCTTTCGCTGCTCTCCTCTCTCCAGCTTGGGGAAATCTCCTTTTGGTCTGGGAGCAATACTTCCACATTCATGCTTTTTCCAAGATCCCCTGCTTCTTGCTAAGAGCCTGGATCTCCTGCTTTCTTTCTCTGCAAGACTCCACATCTTCTAACAGATTTATGCCTGTGGTAGCAAAAGCCAGGACATCCCGCAGGTGCCTTCTGCTCTCCCCTGTGCAGCAGGTATCTTGTGAAACAAGGGTGCACAGCGGGAAGGGACAGGGAAAGGAGAACAGAAAACTCAGAAAGGAGCAAGCCCCCTGATCTGGGATTTTAAAGTCGTATCTGGGCACACCGTTTTGGATACTACATTCCCATGTGGAAGCACATGTAAACATGAGTGCCTGCCCCTAGGCTCAAGACTAAGGTCCCCGTGAAACTGTGAAACAAGCAGAGCTCAGTTACGGACTGGATTCCGTAGTGCCGCCCAGGCTCCAGGGTTGGGACAGGATAGGACCGGTCCTTGGCTGTGTAAGTGGGAGCCAACCATGATACGAAGCCACACTTGGGTCACACAGGCTGTCTGCAGAAGCCTCAGTCCTGAGGTGGTGTGCAGAGAGAGCATGGCCAGGTCCTACGTGGCAGGAGGGAAGTAGAAACCCAGCCTGAGATTCAGAAGAAAGGAGCAGAGATGGAGCCTGGGAGTGGCCCCAGATGGGGTGTGGTTTCACAGGTGAGCCTCAGGAGTTCAAGCCCGTCCTTAGGCCATAGGGAGCCATGGATGGTTTTTGAACAGCGTGAGTGGTGAGAGACAGGAAAGGCCCTGAGTGAGTTCGAAGAGAAAGGAGGAATGGACAATCACTGAGCTAGGGGTTGTTTGGAAGTCTTCCTGAAGGACTCATTCATTCATTCATTCATTTACTCAACGAAAGCTTATCTGGCACCTTCCATGTGCTAGACGCTGCTCAGTGATGAATATGCTAGAGGATCTTCCCTATGGTGCTTACATTGTGGTTGGGGAGATGGGTAAACTTTCACCAACATAGAAGCATGTATTCCAGGTGGTGATGCAGGCTCAGAAGACATCACAGCAGGGCAGGGAGACTGAGAGTGACAGGGGATGCTCTTCTAGCTAGGGCAGCCAGGGGGAAGCTTCTGGAGGAGGTGGCGTTGGAGTAGAGAACTGAAGAGAATGTGGGGGTTGAGTTATCCTAAAGAACAGGTTGGCTTTGCGCAGCTACGATGGACAGGGAGTGTGAGTAAAGCCTTTGGGGAAGAGTTTGAGGGAGATGCCACCCGCCAGTCTTGTTGCTGCAGAGACTCTGTGGGGATGAGCTTTGGGTGGTGAGGTTGGAAGGGAGGCAGTGCCATTTGGGATGAGAGTTCTAAGGCTGGGTTGAGGACTACAGTCTTGCTTGGTGAGCCTCAGAAGGTTACTGAGCAGGAAGGGGGCGACGGAATGAAAGACGCTTGGGTCTCTGCAGAAGACTCCCTTTCTAAATCACAGTGGATTGGCCAGGGCAGGAACCCAGGAGCAGACTGAGCATGCCCAGAGAGCCCCCTCCTTTGCAATTACTGCAAGTCCCAGCACAGGGCAGGGCCAGATCCCTTGGGGATCTTCTCCATATCAAAGGGGAGATTAGCTCCAAGCCCCTAACGATGCTGGATGTGCTGCCCACACTCACCAGCGCTGCCTCCTCTGAGACTGTCAGCTTTATATCTGCTTCTTTTTATCAATACGGGCAAATAATTCTCTAGACATTTATCATTTTAAACTGTCACAGTCCAGTGCCTTTCCCGAGGACCACAATCAATACTGATCTCGGTTTGAATACTTTTCTGACAAGGTTCCTATTTGTAGATTCACAAGTAGAACTAATGTGTGTTAAAGCTATTCAGTTTGGCATTTTGCAGCTCCATTGACACATTAAATATAGGCGTTCACCACAACGATTAACCTTACAACTATTAAGTAATAAAAATCCCACATACATATTTATTAGCTGAACATCCTACTCCGGCATGATGCCTTCCCCAACAAGGCCTTCCCATGATGGGAAACCAGAGAAGGTGGAGGTGGCTGCTGGAGAGATGAGCTCACTCTTTGCAGAGAATATCAGGAGGGATGTAGGGATGCCCAGGCCGCAGTCTTGGTGGGAGGCGGGGAAGCTGCTCTGGGGATGGAGGCCCAGATGGAGCTGAAGTTGACGGGGTGCTGAGGTGGGTAGGAGCAGAGCTGAGATGTTCCAGGATGGTGGACCCAGCTGCTCTCTGGGATGAGATCCAAACTTCCTCATTCCTGGTTCTTCTGAATAGGTAGCCTTTCTCTCCTTGGGCCTTAGTTTCCTCATCTGCATAATGGGGTCAGGCTAGAATTGGTGCCTCCTGGCCTTTTTGTAAGGTTGTGGCCTGTGTATAGCAGGATAAAATGTGTACAGCCTACAGCATCAACAGGCAAGGTCGCTCACCACCAGGAGTGACCAGCTTAGGAGACCCTGGGTGCCCCAAAGCCTCCTCTGGTGATCAGGATGGTTAAGGCAATTGACAGGAATGTGTGAGTGGGGCACACCAGCGGGGATTATCAAGTAGATGAGCTCAGA